GCCTAGTGCTTTCACAATGCAATCACACGTACTTGAGTGGCGATTGAAGCGTATATGACTGTATATTGGATATATATATATATATATATATATATATATATATATATATAATGTAGACACATATACTAAACTCAGTGAGATCACGACTATACAACGAGTATATATCTCGCAACACATTCATTTGCTACTCAAATTCTGACTTACCTCGTAGAAGATTACCGATTAGTTGATATGCAATTCTGTATTTGAATAATGTTATGTCTGCGTAACTCGTCAGTATATTAAAACGAAGATACTCATTTACAATATATTTATAGTGCTTTTGACTTTTCATATAAAATACCATTACTACGAGCCACTATATAACTTTATTTACAGCAACAAGTTTGTGTTGTTTTTCCAAAGCAGCAAATGCACATGGTGAGATGTCATATAAATTGATAATTACCATATAATTTCTGGATAAATGACTTCTCTTAATCCCTTAATGGAATACCTTTACATGTCCAGGAAACAGTCTTTGTGTTTCAACACGGTTCAATGACTGCGACTCATCGCTTGATTTTCAAAGTTGCAGTATAATTCGCTAAAGCTGAAGTGAAGAGCTCAGACTAATATCACTCGATTCGTATTACTATCAGACTAATAAAATGAGGTATCGATCGCTTACTTGTCAACGTAGTTTGGGTTTCTTCGAAGAAGATATAATACCATACGTGCATTTTGCCAACCGGCAACGTTACATGATTACTGGGTTTAAACCAAACGTTATACGAAGGTGCGAAAGTAGAGATCAAATACGAAAAGGAACTCTTTACGAAGCACAAATTCTGAAAATTCACGGTAAGTTTAATATTAGAAATATAAATATCTAGGATTCTAGGTCTGTAACGCTGGTGTATAAGCATAAAAAACGTGGTGCGAAATCGCTAACATGAATATTTTCCGACGCCCACGGTTTGTTTATGAAAAGCGAAACGCGATAATTTCCGACGATCTACGAATAGAACTCTTTCTCAGCTGCGTCCTCGCCCGCAGACGCAAAGCGGACGCATGGCGCCCGCAAAGTGGACGCACCCGCAAGCGCCCGCAGACGCACAGTGGACGCACGACGGACGCACGGCGCCCGCAGGACGGACGCACCCGCGGGCGCCCGTGGACGCACAGTGGACGCAAGATGCCCGCGTCTTGGACGCGGTTTTTGATAAGTTATTTCTTGGCAGTACTGTATACACTTGCAATGCATATAATAATCACTGACCTCAACAGGATAAACTCTATGTTTATCCTCTGACAAATGGTATTCATCACATATTTCCTTGAAATATGCTGGCAGATATTGTTCCTTGCTAGGTGCTGTCCACAGTTTTTGGGAGGTAAGAATCGGCCAAAATTCCATTTTGAGTGGACATCTGCTTCCATGTAAGATAATAAGTTTTATCACTATAAAAAGGTAGAGCAAACACTAAATTTTCGACACTGTATTTTAAGAGGTGGACGCTAAGACTTTTATTATTACTACGCTAATGAACTCATAAGAAGGGTCGTTTTTTAAGTATCTTAAAACATTCGCATCCAATCTTTATCTTATATACAAACTCTCGCCTTCGGCCAGGGATGTCGCAAATAATTCATTTGGCAAAAGTTTGTCAAAGTGTGACAACAAATTTGGTGAAATTTGGTCAAAGT